GTATTTACCCAAAACTCTGTCCCTAACCTCATCCGGCTACCCCACCAGATTCGTGCAATGCTGCGTAGACAGCGGTGTTCAAACACCGACAGTCTGTCTTTATCTTGTTTTCTTAATGGCCAAGTTTCTGCACCGTATAGCAGGACTATTAAGATATATATATATATATTTCTGCGTTAGCTGGTATGGGTTAGATGCGTCTAACCTCAGCCAACTCGACACCAGGGTCGATTTTCAGTGTTGTTCGAATGAGTATTATATGAATGACTAAATGGAGTTTCCCAGAAGCACATGACCGGTTTCGCGATCCTTGCCGCTCGTCAGGTACGCTTATTAGATAATCTTCTATCTGAAATCCCGATGTGAATTAAGCAACGGAAATCACATGTTTAGATGTATAGGTAGATGGCCAGGAAAACGATTTAAAACATAAAGACATACGAAGTTTATAAAAGAAACCGAAAAATTTCCATTTATTAGAGATTCAAATAACGTCACATTTTTAACTGTTTAAACTGTCCTTTTAGTCAATAATAATTTTATAATTAGACATAATTCTTTTCGCATTGAAAAAAACTTTCATAAATGGCGTCCTAACAATGTGAATTAATTATAGATTTAAATAATATAAGAGTCGATTTCATTCTTAGATGAATGTTTTTCATTTGAGAGATTAATACATTTTGAGCAAAGGAATAAGGAGGACCGTTATTGTATTGTATTGTATTGTAATATAACTTCTGCAAGCATGAAGCCTACATTTCAGTCAAAAATATACAGTTCGGAGCAAGAAAGAAAATAAAATTAATAATGAAAAAAGAGATTTAAATCCCAAAACTGGTAACAAAGTCTGTGAAAACCTGTTCTTTGTTAACAAGAATACGTGCTAATGAGGGTTCTGTGGAGTTACGACAAATGTTTATTCCAGAGGGAACACAACGATACTGTGATCTAGTTGAAGGATGAGAACAACAGGAAGTTAGATCAGCGTGTAGCAGCGGATGTGTGGAGTCGATAAGAATCTTATGCGCAAGCTTTTCACATGCATTCAAATGACGTTCGTATAGGTTAGTTATCAATTCCTTCAGCGGGATTGAAGAGACACGGCTAATGATGGTCAATTCACGTCGAAGCAAATTAAAATCTCTCTTCAGGAGGTTGGGAAAAATAACAGGTAAACAATAAAGTAAAACGGGGAAAACACACTGGTACACAAATTTGGAAACAACTGATTGTTAAATACAAAACTGAGTAAGTTTATGGATATGAAACGGAAGTCGTCGAAGCTTACTGACAATGTGTTGAGTGTGAGAGGTCCAGTGGAGATTAGTATCAATAAAAACGCTCAGGTGTTTAATACAGTTTACCCGGGATACTGGTTCTGAGCCAATCGACACCGGTTCAGATGGAAAAAAGAGCGTGATTGTGTAAAGAGACATTCGAAACATTTGTAGGGATTAAGAGATAGGCCCGATGTGGCGGAAAACCGTTGGACGTTATCCAAGTTGTCAGAAAATTGTGAAAGACCAGAAGACTCAGAGATGGCCTGACACAAGACCACATCGTCGAAATATTTGAAGAGAGATGTAGGGGCGCTAGCAGACAAGTCGTTAATATACGTAGAAAATAAGTATGGGGAAAGAACTGCACCTTGGAGTACTCCAGTGCTGTTCAGCAATTGTTTGGATTTCTTCCGACCTAACCTGGTAAACTGAGTTATCCCGGAGAAGTAATCGGCAAGCCAAGCTAATAAC